TTTGCTGACGTCATGAGCGTGCTCAATAGGAATATGAAGCACGCTCGCGCAATTGAATTCGATGAGACAAATTTATTAGCCATGTTATAATTAGTCTTGTAACACCTTTTGTTCTTGATGACAAAAACAAACGGGCTATACAGTTTTGCTTCATATCATTTACCAACCTGACCACAATATCACTTTCTAATACTTCAATGATTTGCTGGATTCTGTTAACTGGAATAGATCTGAAAAGAACGTGAGGTAACTTTTATTTGTAAAAAAAAAAAAAGAAAAAGGTGACTAAGTAAGAGAGTGCGATAACAAAGAAAGCAGAATAATATAACACTCAAATTTGAATGATTTCGAGTGCAACTTATGCGATTTGTCGTCTTTGAAAACTTTATAAGTGCTTATTTACAACAAACTGCACGAAAAATCATGTTGTTACTTGTTAATAATTTACATGAGAAACGCATCACAGAAATTCAAGACGGATGAAATTTTGGCAGCGCACGCGCTATTTGAAAATTTGCTCTCGTGTTAAATGAAAAATGTACGCTTTTTTCAGCCAATCAGACGCGCGTAATTTTTTCATTTACATTATTATTAGGGAAAGTATGTCTATTTGTGTGGACTATCTGTGCAGAATAACTTGGGGATTCAGAGAGAAGGGGTTCAAACCTTTTTGGCTTACAGCCCAAGAAAGTACACGCTAGAAAAGACAAAAAATCATGTTTATGAGGTTGAAAAGGAAAGAAACCACCCCATAAATAACAATAAAAAGTCGGAAAAAGTGGAAAAATTTCAAGCATAGATCCAAAAGTAAATGCAGTACCTTCCAATCAGGAAGTCAGCATTTCTACCAATAAGGAACACTGCAAATGAGCCAAGAAGCCCTAAAAAGTAACAGATTAACAAGCAAAGGTGTGATTTGCATAAAAAAATGAATGACTACAGATAATGTCACGGTCTCCGATTCAAATAAATTTTAGATTGTTCCAATTCAGCACTTGATATTCAAATTTCTTCTCACTAAATAAAAATCTTACTTCTTCAATTAAACAAGTAATTATGAGATCAAATTCCTTAATTGTTATCAAGCATCCATTAAGACAACATGTCAGTCTTGTTCATTTGTTACTTTATTACCCAGAGCAGGTTGGTTACCTTTGTCTCCTCTCATGTAGAGGTCAATTGGAAAAAGAAGATAAATTGGAATATCAAGAAGTATGTGTGAGTTTAAAGTTGGCTTTTTACAAAAAGTCGTCTCGTACAGTACCTCCAATCATTACTGAACCCAAAGCATCAAATACAGGGCTTCCAGTGTAAGAGGTAAGACCAAGGCAGCATGTAGCCAACATAACTCCAGCTACAGCAGCACCATCCTCAAGTAGGACTGTCACTGCACTGGGATCTCTACCACGCATCACTACAAGTACAGCAACAGTAGACAGAGTGCAGTTGAAAAATATGCTCGCATTTGATAGACAGACTAGCTACAAGTTAAGGAAGCACTTGGTCCAATGAGATGATATAAAACTTAACAGAGTTTGAAGTGGTGCTATTCACCATTACCACACTGACCAATTCATTTTTACTGATAACACTCTTGGACTGACATAACTACTCAGCTAAACTGAAGACTTCCACTCAAGTTGTCAATGGTAAAACCCCCTATTAAAACACTCAAGGAATTTTAAAAAAATTAATATCCATATCAATTTCATTGTCTTCTATCACACTCAGTCAGGTGCTGTATGACACTGTGCACTAATTATCATACCATCTTATTACCATATTCTTTGAACGACATGCCACTTTCCCGAGCACTTTTCCGCACCTGCCCTATGGCCAGCAACAAAGTTGCTAAGGATGCAGAAAAACAGTCAAGTGTCAATATTTTTGTTTATAATTGTTTATACCACTCACAAAATAAAATGATATGGGTTTTTACACAGTATAAGAAGAAGTGACATTTAGTGACAAAGTTCTTGCACCATCTGTAGTCAGTTGGATTTGTTTCAGTAAGCAATCTCATTTATTTGTTTTCCCTTTTTTGTTTTAATTACTTTCTAAATCATTAAAAACATGATGTCTCATGCTAAAGGTGGCTGACTAGTTAATTTCAGTTTACAGCTTGGCACCCTTCCCACACATGATTCTTTCATAATTAATACTTTTCAAGGACTACCAGTAGGTATCTAAATTTTACAAGCTTAGAACACTTGCTGTTTAATGTTCATTAGCTGTCAGTTTGTCCAGTTTGGTGTGTCCAATTACAAGCTGCTTTAAATCAGACAATTCTCGAGGACTTTCAATAACCAATCAGAGAAACAAGCATTTCCTTATTGAAACAAACCAATAATTAAGAACTAACTATTAATAGATCAATTATGAAAGCATCAATTAATTACAATCATTATGGTTTCAACAATTTCCAAACAATGTACTACGAAGATAGATCAACGATTAACAAACAAAGAAGACAAAAATGACTGTACACAACCAACCTCCTTCCACTAGAAATGATCCAGCAAGAATAGTATAGGCCTGAATGATAAAACATGCAAAAGTAACCTCTTGTTATAAAACAAAAGTCATCTGGTAGGCTGAATATCCTCCTGAGACTATGCACTTTAATTTCATGTGTATTGGAAATGCTGGAAAGAATTATGTTTCAAACACAACTTAAAGCTTTTGAAATTTTTTTGCCTTCTGTTGTGGAATGACACAACCACAGTATACCACCATTAATTTAGCTAATCACAATTATTGGGTAATAATGGGAATTTGGAATTAATCATACCATTGGTACAAAACTTAGTATCCCTTGGCAACCCAGCCATTGAAATTAGACCAATCACTAACTAAAAGTTGTCTTTTAATGCTGGTCTATCTAAAAGTTCAAGTTTTGTTTGATCTTCACTTATAGTGCATTTTTAATGACCCCATTTGCTGTAACAACTACAATACATTTATTTTATTGTTTAAAAAAACCTATAATTTACTTGTCTCCCTCACAGCCATTTTTTGCATGCCACCCAAAAATGGCTGTGAGGGAGACTATTTACAAACAAACAATTTTCTACAATTACTAGAGGATTGCAACATTACATTTATTAATAAATTTTTCAACTAAATAATAAATGTAGTGAGGAAACCCAATAGAAGCTAGAAGCTTATAAGTTGAAAAGTGTCACACAGTTAACTTTACAAAAAATTTGGATCAATGTCAGTATCTAGGCAACTTCTACCCCTAACCAAACATTAACTTTAACTTGTTATCAGTGGGCTGGTGTTGGGTTAGGGGAGGGGTACCAGAATGTGCACATTTGCTCAGATTCTGACATTGATCTGAAAACTTTAGCTAGATATTGTCAATGTTTATTTATCACAACTGACCATTGTAAGATTCTCTAATGGAGATGGATTCATCAGGCCTGACACACCATGATACATTGTTACACCAGCTCCAAGGAAAAAAATCCCAACACCACTAATAAGAGAATACACGTAACGAGCTCTTGACCAGCCATATCTGAAAGATAGTTTTATTAACCTAAACATATGTTGGAAAAAGTACACTAAACCATACATTGCATGGCATATACACAGACAAGTAGCAACTAATGTAAAAATCATCTTTGGTTTTCAAACTCTCCCTCAGGTGCCAGATGAAGTCAGTGTCTGACTAGTAACCAAAATGCAAGGCCAACCTAAATCTTACCCTTTATGATGGTAACCACATTCTTTAAGGTTAAAAAGTTAAAAAATTTCAGGGTCTGTTAATTTCACTTTCATACATTCTTTTCTCCAAAACTTGGTTACATTAACTCTGCTGACGTAAAGAATTAGGTCCACAAAGCTTGCCTAAAACTATTTTGAAAACTGGCAGGAAAATATGGCTTGAGACGTTCTAATGGAAATATGTCTATCTGCTGTTCACTATTAATAATGTATTTTCCCCCACTAACTGCTTCAAGAGTGTATAATCATCTGATAAGGTATATTGCAAAAAGCATAAGTTAAACCATGATCAGACTTGTGTTTACAGGGAAGTGCTTATACTTACGGATGATCTGGAGAAGGTTTCTTGATTGACTGCATGATTCCAACAGCTAACAGACACTTTCAATTGATAAAAAAAACAAAAAAGCCTCACTCACTGAAAAAGCCTCATTACAATAACTCATAACATTCAAAATTTCCTCATAAATATCAGGTTGTATTTGCCTAAGAGCAATGGTTAGAAGACCAATAAAATTGTTAGCTAAAAAACAAAACAATTTCATTTCCTATTTCAACTTTGGGCAAAGAAGCACACACTCAGTGAGAGTGACAAGTAATTTTGAGAGTTCTTTTTGTGGCAAAGAGGCAGAAGAAGAAGCAAGAAAACATGAAATGGAAACATAGGCTGCAAAATTCAATACATCCACTGTAGCCATTTTAACAACTTCCACTGTAAACTAATATCAAAAATATCTAATACCAAGAAAACTTTTACATGCATTAAATTTGTTCTTGCCAAGACAAGAACAAATTTAAGGCATTATCATATCATTTTTTTCATGAACAACTATTTAGTTTTTGTTTGAAAATTTATAATTGTTTCGGAATTATATGAGCCATCTTCAGAGTATCTTTACATGGATTGCCTTTCTTAGCTAGATGTTAATAAATTCAATCATACCATACCTGGTTCAACATGTCTGCTAATGAATGTATAGATTCTGATAACATTGTTGCTGATCCACTGTACAGATAAGCACCAAACTTAAACAGCATCACTGCTAGGTTGCTATTAAAAACATCAACAAACAATACTGATCTATCCAATGCAATAAATAATGTACTTAATAATAATAATAAGTTGTCCTTTAGCACTTTGCACCATATGCAAACTTGGCCCATCAACAGAACATATCATTTACACTAGAAGCACTTTCCTTTCCTTGTGACAGTAAAAAAAAATAGTCTAAAATTTACTGTGGGGGGTTATGACAAGAGTTTTCCTTTGAAGGATGTTGAGTTAGAGTTACAATAATGAGTGTATTCAAAAGTTGATTATTCTAGAGCATAACTTTTCCAGCTTAAGTGGGGTGCATTTTGAACAAGTGGGGATACTAGACCAACTTTAATTATGGTAATTCTGGTCTAAATCTAAGAAACAGAAAAACAGGACAACCATATGTGATCCTATAACTACAAAATTAAAACAGTCTCACATCAATTGTTGTTTCACTCTAATCCAGGAATTGGACAAGAGTGATAACCCAAGCTAAGCTAGAAGTGTTACAGTTGTGTAGGTGTTTTGTACCTGCAGATTGCATATGTCACAACCTTGGCAGAACCTTTCAACAACATATTTCTCTGTATCCTTTCACCATAGTGCTAGAAAATAAAACGGAAGCTGATAAAAACATACTGAGTAAGCAATCGAAGACCTTCTCCAAGAGAAAAGTGAGCTACTTTGTGAGCCCCTGGAAAGGACTAACTACCAGTAAGCAATTATGTAGGGATGGTATTCATGCACTTTCCATGTTCAAAAGTCATGAACAACACTATTCATAACTGGCCACTTTGAATAAAGTTGAGTTTGGAGCCCTATCAACCGACCTTGTTCTCTTCATTCTTCTTAGAATGGTCTCTTATTGACTTCTTTAGATGTCCTATTAGCTCTCCTAGGCCTAGAAAAATGAGCAAAGTTGATAATAGGTTACTTGAGTAAAGATTTCTTAGGAATTGCACATTACTGATGTTGCTCCTGCTGCTACCACTACAAAGAAAGTATTGAATAAATATTATACACTTGAATCTCTTGACAATAGCAAGTGAGGGGGAGTAGCGGTAGAGAGTTAGGCTTTACAGAAAGGGAGGAGTGCAAAACAATACACCTATCTATTTCACCACCAACTTTTGTTGAGAGGTTATTTTGAATTGGCATCTAGGACACACTTTATGGATCATGCACTACCATTGTGGAAAGGTGACCATCTCAGGAGGTGGCCCTTAATGATGGTTTGACTGTACATGAGCCCACATGTAGTTGTAAAGTACCTTTCCTATAACGTTCACTTTCTTCATACACCTTTTTTCTGTTCCAGATTTCTCTTGAAAGAGCTTCAGGGCTTCCCCAAACTTCATAAGCTCTGAATATTTTAAATAAGAAAAAAAATTATTTGAATTCTTACATTTGATTTTAATTAACCTTGCAATTTTGCTGTTACAATAAGTACAATGCATGATATTATTGGTGAGAAACTCATTAATCAAGTTCGGGATTTCTTTGGTTTTGTTGCAATAGGTCTTGATGATTCTCAATAACCCAAGCCATTTTCTAAAAAAAATCAAGTACAAAGAAATAACACCTGAAAATAAAACCAAAATTTGAAAATTCATTTTTTCCCAAGTTTCTAGCAATTTTCTGGTTTTGCTCTTCCTATTCTTTTTAGCCTCCTCCTCTTCTATCAAGTGCTGTTCAAAGAAATTGATCAGTTCAACATTACCTAACAATATTGCCTAATATATACCCATATAAACTCCTTCATATTGCTTTTAGTTTTTTTTTTACTAATTAACTTATGCTTTTCTTTACAAGAATATACAAGCACACCTCAAAGCTAGTTTCCTCCTAGAGTACCAAGTCTACTGTCTTAGTATTCTTTACCTTAGAAACAAAAGGTAACCATGGCAAACCCAGACCATAATAAGCAAAGAAACTCTCCCTCCATAATTTACAGACAAATGTTCATTACTTACCTTTTCTCTACATCTGATTTTAAATAGCAAACATCTGGAGGTTGTTGTGGATCACTATAAGCACTCCGCACTGCTGTTGTCTTGATTCCCTCTAAATCACTGAAGGAAAAAAAATTGATAAACCTTACCCACACTGCAATTCAAATTCATTTTATTTGTACTTCTCTGGATTAAGAATTCATTTAGCCCACAATCAAAAATTCCATAAAATATCCCTGTACAGTGAGCATCACCCACATAGTAAGACACCTATCTCAGGCTTCCTTACAGTTTTAAGCCAATTACCACCAAAGAACATTCATTGGCCAGGATTCACCACTCTTTTACTGCAGCTGAAACAACAGCACTTTGCCTAGCTTTTTTCTTGATTCCCTCTTAATAACTGAAGGAAGGAATCAATATATCCTACCCACACTGAAACTTAAATTCAATTTATTTTCATTTGTATAGATCATAAAGAATTCATTGCAATCATATAATCAATAAAATATCCTTGTACAGAGTGAATCTCTAACAGAGTGAGAAACTCATTTTGGGCAACTTGACAGTTTTAAGCCAATTACAACAAAAGAACATCAAGTGGCCTCTCCATTTCTTAAAGTTTGTCTCCTAGCACTGAATAATTAAGGTTAGGAGACAAAAGACAATGGGAACCCAATCTTAGTAATTTCATAACTGATTAGAAGATAAAATTTGACTGCATCATGAACAAACAAGAAGCCAAACAGACATTGTGTTTTGTACCATACCTTGGTTTAAGAAGGTAATCACTCATGGCACGGGTAGCAGAAATAAATGTATTTTGATAGTATTTTCTATCATAATTGACATCAATTGGTTGCATCTTAAAAAATCTTTTTGCTCTTTCTCCTTCAAGAATCAAAATAAAAGATAAAACGGTTAACTAAACAATCACTATTTTCCCAAAAGTGAAGTTACTAAGTATGTAACAAGGTTTGCAAAAATCAATCTTCAAGTCAAATTTCAAACAATAACCCTAAATCCAAGTTCTAACCTCACTTACACCATGGGAAAGTTACAATAACTACATACAAAATTTAGTTGCAGTTCAATCATCCTACATAATTTGTTTGCTAACCAAATATGTATTTTCTTAATACTACTAACCATGGTCTTTAAAGACCTTCTACATCTAATCTTCTAGTCTCATAGTAGTTGTACAGCCACTCAAAACATTTATTTAATTGTGTGTACCTTTGATTGCTTTTTTTCTTGAGGACTTTTCTTTCTCCCTTTCATCTGATTTGCCCTCATTGCTTCCACTGGATCCCCCTTCATAACTTGAAATACTCCTAAGTTGTCCAAATCTTTTACTAGAGAAGTACCTTACAAATACACCACTATGTAACCGCTGTCTCCTGGAGCATTCTGCCTCACATAAAAAGAATGATTGAAAGAACTCAACTTAATCTCTTGGTTTATTTGGCCTTAATTGGTGGGGCTGCTCTGAGAGATTCCGAAAATACAGAATTACATACTCTTTAACACATCTCATGGAATAGTGTTTACTGGTTTTCAAAATGCCGCTCACCACAAAAAGTAAAATAGCACTTCATGTTCACTCATACATATTGTATGATCATGCACACTCGGGAAGAAATATACTTATTCAGTAATACTTTATCTCAGACAAGAAGAAAATCAATTTTTAACACATGCTTCTGACTATTACTTCAAGTCATTTGCAATTACTCTAATTCAGTACAGCAATGTACAAACCCTGATACATACATACATACATACATATACTATTTGTTAAGGCAGGTCAGTTTGCGGCAACCTAAAGGCTGGTGTGGACCTGCCGACAACTTAACTAAAAAAAAAAAAAAAACTAGATTTATATAAAATCTTAAATAAAATAAATTAATTAATTAATTAAAAATTTAAAAACTAAAAATATAAGAAATCTGATCATTTTGATGTTATCAGACAGGCCTCTTTTTCGAATTGGAGTTGGTCCAGTATCTTGGAGGCTTGTCTAAGTTTTTGTTTAAAAAGTTGATAGGAGGAAGTGTCCTTGATGGCTCTAGGGATTAAATTCCAAATGATGGGTCCTCTATATCTTACACTATTTCTGCCAATGTTGCTATTGTACCGTACATGCGAGAAGTGATTTGTGTGCCTTAAATTATAATAAGTATTAGTGTTGCAAGTTTCGAAGAGGGCTGTGAGTTGATCAGGTAAGCTATTATGATAGATCTGGTATATTATAGAAGCAAGCCTACGCTTGTAAATATAAACTAGAGGTTTCCATTTTACAAGGTCAAGAACGTCAGTGTCAGGAGTTTCGGTAGGGAGTTTGTAAACTAGTTTGGCTGCTTTCAGGTGCAGATGTTCTAAAATATAGAATGTAGATGGTGAGCAGGATCCCCAAATAGCGATGCAGTAAGTGATGCTCGGGATAATCCCTTTAAAATATATTTCCTCTAAAACACTTGAGGGAAGGGCTTTAAAATTTTTCAAGAATTTTAGCTTTCCTCCAAACTTAGTGTGCAGTGCTTTTACGTGGGGTTTCCAGTTCAGTTTATAGTCGATTTTAACCCCTAAGAAAGTGGATTTAGTAGTGAAGTGAATGTAAGAATTTCCGAACATAACAGGTCTCAATGGACCAACAAAAGAATGATTGGAAATCAGCATAGCCACAGTCTTTCCAGTGTGAACAGTAAGATGATTGTTGATGATTGCTGATGGTCAATTTAGTTGCTAAGATCTGAACTCCGACACTTAGATATCTTCCAAATATGCTCAATTTAACTATTTTCTCATTCAGTCGACATGAATGCTGCCTATGAACACTAAAAAAATTTAAAAAAATCATGCATGATCACTGTGCTAACATCATGATTCCACAACCTTGTCACTATACCTCTGCATAGTTTCAACTTCTCGTTGAACCCAACTTTGTACCAAGAAGAAACATCTTTCCACTGGAGAAAGAATCCTATCCTTACACTCATTTGAGAGAACTTCCACAACGCTGAGGACATGTCTCCCCTCTTTCATACCCAAGTTATCAATTCCAAAACAAACCCACCATGTTTTTTTTTACTGAGTAACCGTGCCATCCTTCTGTCACAGATGATCTTGTACGAGTACATCACATGATTTACGTGTCACATGACGAACGTGATCGATCACCTGACCCAACTCACATCGCCATTTTGATCGGCAGCTGGTGTCTTTCTGGTAGAAATCATTCTTAAATTCCTTAAAGAAAATGGGAGATCAACCTTCTTATGTCGCGTTTTTCGGTGCCATGGGAGCAACTTCGGCCATTGTGTTTAGTGGTAAGCATATTATGAGAGGTTTGGCTACCCTGTGCTAAGTTTAAACCATGCTGATCATTAATTCGGTAAAACAATTCTAGCCCTAGGAGCAGCATATGGGACAGCCAAAAGTGGAACAGGAATCGCTGCCATGAGTGTGATGCGCCCAGAACTGATTATGAAGTCTATAATTCCAGTAGTTATGGCGGGTATCCTTGCTATTTATGGACTCGTCGTGGCCGTACTTGTTGGCAATGGAAGTAAGTGTTCATGACGGGTTAATCGCTAGTGTTATAATTGAGAAAATTACGTCATTCTTCGTATGAAACATTCTTCATTTCGATTCTGGTTATTAATGACAACGAAGTTTTTTTTTTCTACATAGCTGGAGTGAAATTCAATCGTGTCAAAATTCCCTACGTAGACCATTATCTCTATGTAAAGAGAAATGTTGTGCTAATTTATGGAGCTATATCTGTAGAGTGACTCAATGCCTCACCAGTTGTTCTGACTGGCAAGCCACTGAGTAGCTCTTTACACCTCTCATGTTCTTTTACATTGATTAAGGAAAGCTGATAAGCTAGCCCACTGTTCATTTTGCCATGCTCTTTCTTAGTGCATCAAATGAACCACAGCATTTAGTGGATCCTTCACAATTCCCACATGTTATGTTGGAAACAACTTATTGTTCATTGTTTTGAGAAACCTATTACTATAGTATTAAAGCAAGATAAGCACTCTGTATCAGTCAACCAAGGCAGTAGCCCACCTAAGAAGTTGGTTTAATACGTGAAAAGTTTGTACCCTTCTTGCCTGTGGCTTATGATTTACAAACTTTTGTTATAGTCTCACAACAAACATGATAGCAAGTGCGGTTAATTGCTTTACAATCGATTGATAGCTTCATATATTTTCAGTGGTCATTTTTTCATGGTAGTTACTCACTTTAGATTTAAAGTTGCAGAAAATATTTCTCTAGGTTGTTGTTGGTGATTGTATATCCATTTTAAATGGAAAAATCATTCATATTCACTGAACCTTGACTGAGGCTTTGTCCAAAACATTGAAACATTTAAATACATATTTTGATCAAGAAATATAATAACGAACAAAAACTTAATAATGAAAAATTTCATTTTACTGCATTTCTTAACCCTTTGACGGCCAAGAGTGACTAGCATCTAATTCCCCCATACAGTATCACCTCTGAATCACACATAAAGGACATGAGAATAAGGGAAATAATCACCAATTAACCTTTTACACCCTAACATCAGTATTCATATTCTCCATACTGTTCTCTGTACATTTACTAAGGTGCTGACAAGGAGAATTTGTCTAACAATCAAGAGTTTTTTTAGTTGGTAATCATTCCCTTCATTCTCATGACATCAATGTGTGATTCAGTGGTGATATTGTAAAAAGAAATTAGATGCCAGTCACTCTTAAGGGTCAAAGGGCTAAAGAAACTCTTGATTGTTTAAAAAATTATCCTTGGAGGAAATGTATGGGGAAGAGAATAGAGAATGTGCATACAAATGTTGGGTTGTAAAGAGTTATGTAAACTTTGTATTCCCAGTTAATTTCACTTCTCTCATTTACATCCAGTAAGGATAAACTTTGGACACATTTTTGATTGCTTCTCAAGGCAAAGTAACTTAGTTTTCCTCAATTAGACAAATATAACCAAAAAAATTGTTAACTTAAAACCAGCCCTTATTTGAAACAATACTTCAAAAAGTTCTCAACCAACTTTACACTTTTACAGTAGCCTATTGATTGTGGTCAGTCCTTACTATTGCTAACACACAGCATGCTATGCAATGAAAATGTGCTAAAAATGATGTCCTAGGGTTCTTCTGGACTAACAATTTTTCCTTTCCTTTTCAGTTTCTGACAAGTATACTCTTTTCAAGTGAGTAATTGCTTACCTTCCTTGAAAGTGATATTTTTTAGTATCCCACTTAAAGATATGTTGTTATTTGTTTCTCATTAATGGTATCTTATAAAATTCTCTACACATTATCTCATAAGATTTTTTTCTCATTTCTTGTATTTAAGGAGTTTTCTAGATCTGGGTGCAGGTTTGAGTGTTGGACTGAGTGGCTTGGCAGCAGGTTTTGCTATTGGTATTGTTGGTGATGCTGGAGTCAGAGGAACAGCTCAACAGCCTCGTCTCTTTGTTGGAATGATTCTTATTTTGATTTTTGCTGAAGTTCTTGGTCTTTATGGACTGATTGTTGCTTTAATCCTTACCACAAAGAGTGCTTAGAAACAGTGTTAAATTCCCTCATAACTTTTTGAAATTGAACTTGAGCTAAGGCATATTTGCAGTCACTAAAACTGATTTTTCATGAAGACTGTTGATTTACATGGGTGTCCTAGTTAATTTCTCTGTTTGTGTTGTTAGGTTCTTCACTATGAACACAGTGTTGTCCTAATTTCTTTGCTTTGCTTTACATAGCTATGTTAGACCTACAGCGAGTATGATCAAGGTAATAGCCCTCTATGCATGTTCATATTAAAAAAGCCAAGATGAATCCAAGCCCTGCTCTCAAGCTGCAGACTGGTGAAGTGTGATGAGAGAATATTTGTAGAGCACTGATAATGAAGGAATATCTACACTTAAAGGCAACAAGAGGTTGTCAAGGGCTCAAAAATGGAGAATTTTTGAAAATTACATAATCATGCATAAAAGCTTTTTAAATGCCAATTCTAATCAACCATAAGGAAGCACAAAACATTCCAAATAGAGCTAGTGAATTTGTTTTTGCTAGGAAGACAGTGTTCTGGTAAACCTTTAGTTTGTTACTTTTGTACTTAAGCTAGTGACACCACCAACAGTATACTCTAATTATTGTTGTTATTTTAAATTACATGAGTATCAGCAAGCGCTGAAAGTGATGAAATTCAAATTTTAATTAAGAAATGTGAAATGCATGAGGTGTTTCTCACCTAGGAAGTAAATTCCTTGATTAGGTCTGATTGATTGGTTCCCTAGGGAATGTTTATACTTGATGTTGCAAACTTGTGGTTTTTCAGCAACTTCAATTGGTATTTTCTTTTAGATCAACTGAGGTCTTAAAGATTTTGGAGGAATTATGTCATAGTGAAAAAATTTTTGGTTGGAATTTTTGTTTGTGTGGGAAATGAAGCCTATCATACAAGAACAGTGACTCATTATAAATCGTATGGCATGCATGTGAAGTATGTAAAAAGCCTACTAGAAAATGAGTCATTAAATTGTCTTAAATCTTTTGTTTGTTTCTCATCACTTAGCACCTTTATATATGTACATGTTGAGCACCAAGGGGACAATCTAGATCAAAGAGGCAAACAGTTTTAAAGTGATTTGAAAGCTGACAAAGAACTATCACTCGAAAACTTTAGTATTAGAAACTCTTTATTGTGGCCAATTTACTTAAGCAACTCAATTAAAAGACCAAATTATATATACACCAATTCAGTACCACAGTTTAGATAGTTACCACTTCCTTTCATTTTACTGTAGCCAGGATGTAAAAATTGATACGAATGCTCTTTTTGTTGTTGGATGCTAAACTCAATTTACATTTGGGGAGGGAAAAGTTTACTCCAGTGCCCTTTTCAGGAGTCAAGTGGGTCAGTGAAGTGTCGTCAGTGACACAGGATTACTCTGGGTATGACTTGCTACTCTTTGTATTGGTGAAGAAAACTTCCACTCTCTTGACAGCGACCAGTTGCAAATCTAAAGCTGATTGACTTGGTCGGCCTCATTGCCCCTTGACTTTCATAGCTTTTTTTGTTTCTATTTTGGGTTGTCACCACGTGCTGCGGACACTCTGATTTTTCTTATTTTGATAGATGTGATTACTTATTTCTTGGTCTTGAGACACTAAAAGGAATTGATTGCGAGTGAGGGATTTTTATAATCTAAACAGCTTCGAAGTTGTTTTCATTGACAACCCGAACAATTGTGTGTGGAGCTACGAAATTTTAAAGAGAACTTGAAACACAGAAGAACCTTTACTCCATTAGGGAGTATAACCTGCTAACGCGCACTCTTAGACGTGACCCGAAATTAGCTGATGGGAACTGACTGAAAATATTCATGTTATGGCTCTTAGAGCCTTGGTGAGGGCTGGCGAGGTGTCTTTGCGCCCGAACGCGTTTCACACATAGGTCTTCAAAACACATCCCGCTTGTAATTTCTTTTCCTTCTGGGCGTCCCAATATCATTGTTTCCAGTGTTTCCCCGCCAACCCCGATGGTTGGAACGCCTGACGCTTATCCATATGAAGAGAGCATGTGAGAGTCGTCGCAAAATGGCTTCGCTACTGTGTTTGAGGTCGTTTTCGAAAGCTACGATTTGTTTCTATTACGGATCTCAAATCACCATAAACTCGTCGCCTCTTACCATGGTTTTCAGGATATTTTCTTTTCAAAGAAAAAGGAGTGTTTCTTGGGTTAGTAATATGCAACCATCGAGGAGACTTTCTTTGACATCTGTTTTGAGTTGTAGGAGAGAAAGATTCCAACATGAACACCCTCAGAGAAGTGTTTTGCTTGTGGACGAAATTGGTGGTAACCAAGGTGAGATGTCATTTGAACAAGCGTTGCAGATGGCGAAAGAAAAATCGCTTGAACTTGTCCGGGTGAACACGATTAAGAAGGACGATTCAGTAAATATGCCTGTCTTCAGATTGATGTCGACTGGTAGACGTACCAACATAAGAACTAGAGCTCGCTCTCTTGAAGATAAACCACCGAAGACAAAGACTATTAAAGTTAATGACAGGATAGAATTCAAAGATTTATTTTTCAGAATAAAACGGATTGAAGGTTACCTGGAAAAGGGTTACCAAGTAAAGCTTTGCGTTAAAAGCAAAAAGGGAGGAAGTGTGGAGTCAACATCCGATGATAAATTAAATATCATAAAGCAAGTAGAGCAAGAAATGAAGGTAAACTATACAACTGGAAGGCCTGTAGAGGAAAGCAAAGGCATCATTGTTTGTGTCTTTAAACCTGCATAGTTTTAAATTGATAGCAAAACTAAGGAAGACATTGGGGAGTTAGAGAATTTCGGAAATCTCCTTTTCAAAATGAGACACAGAGCAATACCTCTCTCTTGTAAATTTCACTGTTATTTGCTTGAGAATAAAAATTATTTTCACATTCAAGGTTTTGCACTTACCCTTGTTTCAAAAGAGAGGCTTGTTTGGGGCCTCTTTAAAATAGCCTACTACAGTAATGGCATTCTAAGTCATGTAAGGTCATTGTGGCATGTTTTGTAACTAGCCAATAGGATCCCTTTTTTTTCACACCAAGCATCAAGAGAAATTTGCATTGATCAAAAGTAACACCCTTATTTCATAAACAGGTTTGTTTTCACCATGTTGTGAAATAATTGGTTGATACATTTAGCTGAATGTAGCTAGGGTATGAGTATTGGATAGTTCTTGGGTTGCTAGAGTTGCTTACTTGTACACCTCTCTTATACTCCTTCCCGTGTGACCCTACTTCCACCAATTCTTTATGACACCATTCTGTATGTTTGAATTAAATTATGAAATTACCTCCAAATTTTAACAATGATTTCCTTTGGATTAAAACAGAGTATCAACATTATTTTGTACAGAATGATTCAAGGTGTCACTGCAAATTTTATGAAATGATAGCTTGAAGGAATTTTTGTATGTTATGGTTTCAAGCTGCACTTGTCTGTATGAGCTGCAAAAAGCACCAGTGTGAGACAATACTGATTATTCACTTTTAATACTTTTTATAGTTATTATTTTGAATTTGAAAAGCATCATACCACTCAAAGAACTGTGTATTGTGGTCATCATTTGTTTAATTATTTGTGGCATTCATGATCAAATTCTTTAGGATAAGATATTTGCTATAATGGACTTGATCAGCACAGTTGGTGTATTCAAGTTATACCCTCCCTCGTGATGTTCCTGCAAGTTTGTAACCAGTAATTAAGGGAGAAAGGTGAGAAGAAACCAATCAGAATTTACTGGTAAGGCTAAGATTTTTTTTTCATCTAGGTTTGGGAAACCTAGCCTAGCATTTTACCATTTTCTATTTATTTTGAAAAATTCATTGGAAAACAGAAAAGAGAATCTGCAAGCTTAAGATGAGACTTATGCCTGCAAATTAGGTTTTATTTTCACATGCATGTGATGGGTAGCATGTAATTGAGGTTAAAACCCTTTCCGAATACAAGTTGGGCTAAATTATTCCTTAGGCTATAAGCAGTATTGGAAATGGAGACAGATTTGATATGGCTTTATTAATAATAGATAACACAATCAGAAGGAGAAAACTATTTTAAATTTGTGTTTTTCAGGGTAACATCTGTAAGGCCAATTTTCTGCAAAAAACCTCAAGAGCTGACCACAAAATATTTATATAGAAATGCAAATGAGAGAGTCTTATACTCTCCATACAGCTTACACACCCATGGATAAGGTGTTTGAATTTTTAATCCACTCCTTCATTAGATAGGAGAATCCTATCAGCTACTCTAGGTAGAATTGAAGCAGTTTTATAGTTAATAATTAAAATACCTTTATTCAGATGAGGAAAATTAAAAGTTACAATGAAGTGATTCAGAATATTATGAAAATTAGCCTGAGAATGTGAAAAAAAAAATTGAAATGCATCAATGAAGAAATATAAAATGGTTTCCGTGTTTACATAGCCTGATGTAAACACGCAGGAGATTGGGAGAACACAAGATAAGCGTAGGAAACCACAACGTGAAGCAGAGTGGTTTCCAGCTTATCGAGTGTTCTCTCAACTTCCCAAGTGTTTACATCAGGCTATGTAAACATGGAAACCATTTTACATTTTTTTTTATGAAATAACTAATGAAAGAGGAACAAAAACCATGTTTACATACGCTCATGTAAAATGGTTTTATAGCCAATCAGAGCGCGCCTACTATTTGAATTATTTTATAAACATCTTTGTGAGATAAGAGAGATTAAAAGGGGAGACTGATGAAAATTTTAATCATGTCTATTTTCTGACCATGATTTTGTTGTAAACAAAAGGAATGATTGCTGAGGGTAAAGTGCTGTGTAGTGGATGGCCTGAGTAACGGGAAAGAATTTTTGATATTATTCTTCAAGACTCTTCATGCAAAATGTGTTTAAGGGGTTGAATTTTGCAAACATTTTGCTTGACTCAGAAAAATTGCAAGCCTCTGTATGTAAAAATTCTGTTGGGCAATAGCATCATCTGTTAAATAAATATATTGAAAATGTAGAAACAAAAAAAAATCAGCAAACAAGTCAGCTTTAGGAAAGGAAAAAGTCTTAATTAATGGTTAGACTTGGCTATGTGCAGTGTAAATCACACAAGAGTTAAAAGATTATCATACTGTCACTCTATTATTAGCTAACTATGAACAGTCATCTACATGGAAGACAACACAAGAGCATTTCCTCCTTCCTTTTCCTTTTGCTGGTTATCTTCACTTTGACATTCACTTCTTGAAATTGCAGATGTAGTGAGCTTCTTCCAACGCTGAGAGGAAAAATTGAACACACTTATTTTTTAGATTAAAATTTTTAATACACCAATAACAGTTTGGACATAATTTGAATGTTTCATTAAAAATGCAAAAGAGAAAATTTTTAAAGGTTAAGAAGAAATTTTTTTACATAAATAAACACTTTCATTTAAAACTTAATACCTTACTTTTAAAATTCCCCAGATCTATGAGAGCAACAAAACTTTATGTTCACACTTGACAAAATAAAGAATTTTTTGCAAGAGAATTCTTATGTGACTAACTAATGAATTGTGAGTATCTTCTTTGTGGACTCCCTGTGTTGCAGGTCCGCTATAATATGCTGAGTTTTTTATCTGTCTGAGCCGTTTTCTTTCCATTTATCATATTTTTATTTTTTGGTCCCACAATTGATATATCACAACACTTGACATCCTCACCTTAGAACATTATAATATTGCCTACAACAAAATATTTTTTATCTCTTGTGTATAGATACCTCTCCTAAAGTTCCTTCAGTAGAGTAAAGCTTCACAATCATGTAAACAGGAATGCATAGAATTGATGCAAAAGCCATACACCAACCAATCACTTGCCCCCAAACAGGGTATTTAAAATTATTGTACTCCAGTGGCTTGTATGTCACCAGGCTGAATATAAATATGGCCTGAAAATGAATTTTAAAATAAGAGCCACAAACTGCTCTGCATTAGAGATGCCAAAAGCATAATATTAAGTACATTATGGACCGTAAAAGAAGTGGCTGTTGTCAAATCTTTCAACTTGTGCATCAATTAAGAAAAAATGTTTTCTGTCGTTTTTTAACTTAAAAATTACATTTGAGCAGTATCAAAAAAATCAAGAATGAACACAGTGAATATTATTCCCTCAAGTCTTTCCATTGTGAATATACTTGAATTCATGATTGTTTGAAAAGTACTCACCAGGCAGAAAAGTGGTGTAAGAAACTTCCAACACAATTTGCTCCAAGGGTTGATGCGAAATCCAATCATGGACTCCAAGTTATCATAGAATCTGTCTCCACCTGACAAATAAAAGACAATAAGAAACCAACTAAGTTATATTTAATCTTTGATACAAGCATGTTTTTACTCCCTTCTCTGACTCTTTGTCCAGGATGTCTCTTTTTCTATTGTTTCCAATAATATAATCATGTAAATGAACTTCACAAAAGTTCACGTTAATTTGTGAGCCTTTTGAACATTTATCCAAAAGTAAAGAAAAAAATTATGAGAATAGAAAAGCTTTTTAATGCTACTTATGTGAGTCTTGATTTGTAGCAAAGTTGCCACAAATAGTCTCTATTACAACTACTTTCCAAACATTGTCTGCTTCTACTTGTAACCACATTAAGAAACTCAACTTTGCAAGGCTAGGCTTTGGCTAGTTGTTTCAAGAAAACTTGACAGGGGTTTTAAATTAAGTTATGGTTTGGGTGCAGGATCGCCAGGTTTCTGGCCTCAATTTACATTTTATATAATATTTACACCACTGACCATAGACCCAGCCAACAGCAATACTCTGAAAGAGTGAGACCCACAGTAGAGCACTACCACTGGCAGAATATGTGTCAAATAACTGGAATATATACATTCCACCCTAAGAACCAAATATAAAACAGAAGTGTTGTTAGACATTCAGTTCAAATTCATTCTTCAACATAAGCTCATAAATAAATCTTTAAAAGTTGTCAGGAAACTTAAAAGGGGTGACCAGATACATCAATGATTAATTTTACTTTTTTGTGCTCTTTAAAAGACTCACACTGTAGCTACCAATAAAAGTCACATACGAATTTTATTGTTAATTCCATAGTGCAACATTTACCTCGGAAACCATTGACAGACCAATCAAAAACCAGAAAAAACAGCATATAGCAATGAAGATTTCCTTGCGGTAACCACATCTTAAATAATGAGGAAACAAGTCCACAATGGCTGTCACAAAACCTTCCACTCCAACAAACTGTAATGGTTAAAAAAAAACCTGCTGTGTTTACAATGACTTGTCACAGCATGACTATTCCAATAATAGAACACATTAAGTAATTATTCTTGAAGAGCAGGCTTTTACCCAATAATTTTAGAACTCCATACTTTTCATTAAAGCCACCTTCAATTTCTAGCTGCATGCTTGTACTTAGTACCTTTAGCACTAAAAGACTCGTAAGTGAATACATACTTCAGGCCATCAATAAGCTTTGGTATAGTAAATACAAATACCTCACTATCAAGTCCTAGTAAGATCACCATGAAAAAGAACAGGATGGACCACAAAGGGGCAATTGGCATCTCTGCCACTGCTGCAGGGTAAGCAACAAATGCCAAACCAGGACCTGATAGAAAATATAAATCAGACATTTTAAAATGATACTATAATCATGAAAGATCATAAAAAAGACAGCATTCTTATAGGATAAAATTACCCACATGTAGATCTGGAGTCCTATCATAAAGCACTCATGATTGGTTTACTATTCTTCACCTAAACCACTGATAACTATATACTGCCAAGTTGAATTTTTTTTTATTACCTCTTTCATTAGGATAGAAAGACATGCAAGGATTTGTACACCTTGAGGAACTTTACAATGAGTTTCCTGTTTGTCCCTTTACAGTAATCAAAGTCTGTGTATTCCAACACTTGGATCATAAAAGTCTTGCCATACCAATACCCTGAAGTCTGCATAGCTGAGAGCCTCTTTCTCTTCTTGAAAATAATGGTCACAGGAGAGTGAGGTCGATTTCATACTTATTAATTTTTTCATAGTTTGTAAATTGTGTATTATTTTGAAGTAATTTAGAAAACCTGAAAAGGGGTATTATATTTAAAAGTAGTAACCATCCAAACATGAACATTAACAGCTTACTGTCTCCTCAAAAGAAAATGCTACAAGATGACTTCTGACACTTCAACTAACGTTTATAGAGGTTTCCCTATTCCCCTTTGTAAAACTCTGTCACGTTTAAATATTTGGCCTTTTCACATACCATATATGACATCCAAAACTCTTTCACGTTCACACAAAATTCAAGATAATCACATTGAATTAATATTTTACTTTTCTAGTCTTAGCTAGTCTTATCCAATAAAAGATGAAGTAATGTCTTATCTCATTTGTTCAAGAACCATACAACGGTTCTCCACAAGCATAGCTTATCTTCAGAACTCTTCTTGCTCTTTCTTTCTTTTTTTTGAGAACTTCCCTATGACAAAATATGCTGACTTTTGGAAATATACATTTATGAAGATCAACAATGTTTGCTGTCATCAAAATGTCCAAAAATTTGTTAGTAGTTTAGCTTTAGTAGTTTAGAGTAACCTTAACCTTTATAGATCATAACCATACCTGATTTAGCTACTTCTGCCACTGGCACTCCCTGTTTCTGTGCCATAAATCCCAGAATTGAAAAAATGACAAATCCTCCATACAAACTAGTCCCACTATTAACACAAGCAAATATGATACAATCCCTATGAAAGGAAACAAGAATAGCAAGTCAGAAACTTTTCTCACAATGCCATTAGGTGAACTAAAACTACAGCATGGCCGCCAAACTCTTGCAATTGACTTTGGTGGGATAAATGGCCAGCTTCTCAATTAAGGCTTACAACTGTTTTAAGTAGTAAAGGAAAGGGCCTACTTTGTGAAAGAACACAGATTATAAACAGTATTTTAATAGAAATGTTGAATTACCTCAATGTAAATTAATTTACACCAGAAATAATACTTTGAATCAAATCTTTACAACTTGATCCTTTAAAAAATAAATTGATAACTGACATGTTCCAAATTTAGTTTATATACATTCATCATTAGATACCTGTAGCAATTTGTTCTAAACTTGTTGTAGCTTCCTAGTGCTATAAGTGTTCCAAGACCAATAGAGTATGAAAAGAAAACCTGGGTTCCAGCATCTAGCCATACCTACATGCACATTAGAGACAAGATCACATATATATACCTTAATCAAATACCTTTTAACTCATGCACAGTTAAAGTGTGGGGAGTGAATGCATCTTATCAGTGATGGCTGACTGATTGTTAAGTTTGGCAGATCAATTGGGGAGGACTTTTGTGGGGATGATGGCATAAGCCCCCTAATCAGCGTGGCTGCAGCCAGTTACAGGATAAATTACCTGACCATCAGCTAGCCGAGTGAAATTTGGATTGAGATAAAACTTGATTCCTTCTCCTGCTCCAGGAAGTGTTACCGCACGAAACATTATTATGGTCAGCAACACATAAGGAAAAGTTGCAGTAAAATACACAACCTGGGAATGAAATGAGATATTGCAGTTAGTTGTATATTCAACATCAACCTAAAATAAGAAAATTGCATACTACTTTTAACCATGTATTGATTTTGTTACTCAATGACGAGTTGCTCCTTGAGCTGCCACACTTTTTGTCATGTGAAACTGGTATCAAACATGTGCCCAGTAATTTCTCAATCAACATGTTGAGATTATTTTGATAATGACCACTAATGGTATATGGTTCCACCTGGCACTATCCTGTTGAAACATAATTTTTAAAATTTTTTTTTAAGTTTGCTTTTCTTTTTTTTTTTACAATGCAGCATGTTATTCTTCACTTTATGGGCAAAGAGGTCAAAATTTATCTAATATTAAATTAAATGATTAAGACTGTTTGAATGGACTTTTACCTGGAGGGGTTTAATTTACTTTTAATAGACTGTATTACTCTCTAACTTTTTGACTCCAGGCAAAGGATCAACTCTTTTTGGTAAATATATCATTCAAATCTGCATAAGGCAGTCAGCATAAAAAATGAATAAGATCTACCTAAAAGGTTATAGAGCGATAAAACCACAAGGCAGGTATAAAGTACAATGAGTAAGACTTACTCTGCCAGTAGACTTAACACCCTTCCATACACAAAGGTAACAGATAATCCAACCAAGAAGCAGACACAAAGCAAGATCCCAGTTTATTATTCCTGGTTCATCAAGACCACCACTTATACGCAGAACTCGATAGCTGAAACAAATTATTACAAAAAGAAAGGTAATTGAATAAGTGATATGGTAAGTTTTGAGCTTGATAAAGAAATAGAGAAAGATGTTTTTCATCTTTTCATGAGCATGGGACAAAGAAAAAATTCTGAATTCCCATGAGGAATTGAACCTCAGACTTTCCGGAATCTGCACTCTGTCATGCTCTACCACTGAGATACAGAGACTCTGTGGTGAGTGAGGTCTCTTATGAGGTTCACCCTGCATACTTCTAGGATCAGCAATGTCAATAGTGTTGTGTTTGTAAATAGAATAAGAGAGGTGGTCAGTTTTGAGCTTGGTGAAGAAATAAAGAAAGATGTTTTTTGCCTTATCATGAGCATAGGACAGAGAAAAAAATTCTGAGTCCCCAAGAAAGTTAATTGTTACTAAAACATCCTGAAAGGTATGCACAATAGCCACTATATATAGATATAAAAAAAATGACACTTAAGACAGCTGGATTTCAGAGAGTGATAATTTATGAAATACTTTATGGATATCATTACATATGATGCTCATTAAAAGTTAAAACAATACTAGTAATCCTACTGGTTATTGAAATACACTTTTAAAAGGCATAGAATGCTTATCCTGACGTACTCCAAATATTCTTGGCTGGAAGAAACTTTTTGAAGAGTGACATTGGATGTAACATTTAAAGTTGCATTCAGCATTCCCACTGTAGAAACATTCTGTCCATTACTGTCTGAAGAACTTGGGCCAGCACCACTTAAATCTACACACTGCGGTGTATTCCATGGATTATCACAGTGAGACCATGGTAGTTTGGAAGTAAATGATGCAAACAAATAAAACAAAGCCCAGCCAAGGATAACTATGTAGTAAATGTTGAGAAACTGGACTATGACAACACTGGCATATCCAATACCTGCACCAAAAACAGTTACATTTCTGTTTAATATTGGGCTCATGCAGAAATCATACATTTTTACTCCCTGGGTAGCTCTCGTCCACTGTTTTCTATGGTAAATGGTGATGATTTTAAATTAATCATTTTAAGTCATGAAAGTGGAACCAGGTTAAGAGGAGAATATAAAACCTTTGTACACTTGCCAGACCATGTAGAGGAGTAATCAATGGCAAATATCTGAATAAAAATCCCAAGATGGTTACACCTCTAGCATCATAGAGATCTGGAACCCCAAAGTTATGTTTCTATGGTAACAAAATTATAAGGTCTTCATACTGCCGACAAATCATTGAGATATCCTTGTTGGGTTCTGTTTATGGTATCACAATTCCAAATTACTGATATGAATAAAAACAAGAGTTGTAAACAATATTCTTCTGTTACAGATTCCTTGTTATTTTTTTCCAAAACAGATAACATTGGACAGATGCAAATCTAACCATAGTAGCACTTTGAAAGTACTAACATTCAGCAAGCCAAGAGATGAGCTATTAGAACATAAGGCAACACCTGGGGCTTACATGTAACTGCCCACTTTAATAACTGACAAGCCTTCTTTTTCATGTTTTATACACAAATATTGATAAGCCTTTTTTTGTCTCATTAACGTGTGCAACACTTTCACTCAAAGAATGTCAAGCTCAATACCTTGAAACAAAGGGCAAATCTTCCATGCCGTGATACCTCCCTGACTGGTAAACTGTCCCAGAGAAACCTCCAGGATAAGGATGGGAACTCCCGCAAGCACCAAGCAGATCAGGTATGGGATAAGGAAACATCCTACATGGTACATTAACATTACCAACAGCTTTAAAATTTACTAATAAATAGCAACACATAATAATTTTCAGCTAACCACACCCTTCCAAACAGTCATATATATATTTTTTTTAGAAAAAATTAATGTCATTTTGGTCATTCATTGTTTTAGTAACCTACTGCCTACAGTGTCAGTGTTGGCATTTATGATGAGCTGTTAACTGTGAAGTTGTTCTGTTGTTACAGAATTGAAGGATGTTGATTATTGTTGGTCTGTTTCACATTTGTCATTTGTCAGATGTTGACATTTGTTCATTATATCAGGGTATATTATACATATAGGCTTCTGGATTGTGTTCATTATAACAAGGATTTTGCTATATCGAGGCTCTTTAAATAGAGGTTCTGTCCCAAACATTTTGCTCTCAAGCTGAAGAGTATTGTTTTTTGTACCAAAGAATATGTCATATTAACTGAGGTTCATTATATCAAGGTTCTTCTGTATGATACATATAATGAACAATCTTCAGGAGAAAAGGCTGTGGCTGAATGCCCGGCAGCTGGGCATGGTCTCAAATAGACTAAATGCCTAGCAGTCAGAAATTTTCACACAATTTCCACCAAAGGCTCCTCCAAACTTCTTTAGAATATCAGATGTTTGTTTAGAAATCTCAAGCAATACCAAAAATTAATTTGTTGTCAACATTTGGAAATTTTATGCTTCTGATCAGGCATTTAGTCTATTTTAGACTGTGCTCAGCTCCTGGCATTTAGCTGCAGCAAAAAAAGAAAACACTTCTCATTTCTTGGCTTCAGCAGATAACTCAGACCTTGGCATTGGTAATTCTAGATATCAACATTGTCCAATGATTACTGCAGTCAGCATAAAACACAGACTGCAGACCAGGGGTAAAATGGTCATTCCTAAAAAAACCTGCTTCCTTGAAGAAACTTCAAGAGTGAGCTGGGTGGCAACTGATGTTTCGAACTTCACTTCCCCAGATAGTTTTGGTGTTGACATATTGTTTTAAGGTAAGAATGATTAGAAACAAAAGTGTTTGAATACGCAGTTCACAGCTGGCTAAATAAATTTCCTTTTTAAGGAATAAACAGTTCTGCTGAGCAAAATTTGGTAGCTTTAACATAGATATAGCTCATATGTACTTTGTTCAGCCTTGAAAGTGGTAGCAATAGACTTCCATTACACATTGGCAACTACTAGTTACAAGCAAGACTGTTGAATTTAATTCTTTTATTGGCTAAGCAGCAAAATAGTTGCAAAATCGCATCTGATAGACAAATTCTAGGGGCAAAGGAGAAATCTCTAATCACAAATGCAACAGTATCAGTCCCAATGGCAAGCCCTGACTGGCTATAATTCCCATGTGACCCCATGCGACCCCTGGTCTGCAGTCTTCAGTCTGCATTTTATCCTCAGTCTGCATTTTATCCTCAGTCTGCATTTTAACATCAGGTCTGCATTTTACATTGACCGATTATTGCTTTAATCATAAACATTACAATTTTCTCAAATGTGATTGGTGCATTAGCTGCTTTATTTTTCACGATCATTCTGTACGGTTGCAATCAAACAGGTGGCTGTAATTTGACACCTACAATTGGATAGTTGAAGCAGCCAATCATACTTAGTCCTTTCAGCAAAATTCACCAACACAGAATTGATAACCATAGCAACAACCACGTATCCTAAAAAAAAGCTGTGGAATGTACAAAATTGAGGAATTTTTTTACTTAGAAATTGTTTCTACCAGATATGGTTGACCATAATGTTTTTGATGTTTTCGGAAATCGTAGCAGTTATGATAAACTGGTAACAGGACTTTGTGTCATCCAATTCTGTCTGTAATCATACTCCTGGTTGACAAATCAGATTCCTGCTTGGCGGTCGTCCGGTTTTGACAATCACTCGTATTATTACAGACCGAATTGGACTCCACTTGGTCCTATTACAATTATTAATTTATCATTTTGTGATCACTCGAAGTACATCTGACCGAATTACACTTCACTCTGTCCATTTGTTTTGCTGTGACATCTTGAGCGATCATGATAAAACGCAGACTGCAGACTGCGCAGACTGTGAAATTTTTTTGTTTGCTTTTTTTTGAAACTGTGATTATACATATGATTACTCTTTTGGTAACGTTGGAACTGTTTCCAATTTTTGAACACCACATGACGAAATTTTACGGGGTTATCTAGAACACATTAATCTCCGATTCTATAGCAATGCATGCACTGCGTGTGTGTGTATAAAAATTAAGAGGACAATTTTCAAGTGACCAGCGGACAGGACTCGAGGTTCTATCAGTATTGTTTTAATTTTACCTAAAATCGAAAATGTAGGACAACGTGTGTCACCGTTGGTTTGCATATATAGCTGTTTAGAGCTTGGAGTCTCACGAGGTAATTTGGTACGGTTGAAAGGTCGACGTCGCCTAAGATAAATTCCCGTCAGATGGGAAAAAAATTTAACTGCACTCCTCTTTACTTTCTCTTTAGTTCGTAACCGTATCATTTAATCAAGAAACAAGGCAAAAAGCTATTCCTAGATTAAGGTTGTCCACAGTATTTGAAGTTTGCATTTGACACACATCAGTGACTCTCTCACACTTGCAAAATGTTTCGCCGGAATGTGATCGAAGGTTTTTTATGTTATTTCGAGCCGCAATGGAAACGTTTAGTTTTGTTTTATATTGTGGAAGCGAAAAGAAGTGCTTTAATCTGGCTCAGACTTGAGTTGTACTAGTTTTTTCTCAGGCCGCACAATATTGATGAAACTGGACCCCTATCGACGTCGATTGCGTGATAGGTTATGAATGAATTTGTCAGTGTCTCGCGACCTGAAACTGACAAAATTCTCCAGCAAGCAAAGCGCAGTCTGCACGGTCCGCAGTCGGCGTTTTATCATGACGGCATCTTGCGCGTGATTACTGCGAGCGAGTTTAAAGACAGTGCCTTTTTCTTCAAGGTAATTTTAAAGAGCTTGCAATATAGAGACTAAAAACTATCACTCTCTAATGTTTATACATGTTCAATAGTCCTGCCGTAAATGTGGTTCTAAATCTCTCCATTACTGTGTATCTCCAGGGTACAGTCAGTGTAACACGCTGACTAGGGGTAAAATGGAGACTGAGGGTGAAATGCAGACTAATCATGAATCAACTAATGACTTTGGGGTCACGTGGGGTCACATAGGGTCACGTAAGGTCACGTGGCATCTATAGTCAGTCACGGCCCGCCATTGCGACCGATACTGTGGCATTTGCGATTAAAGATTTCCTTTTTGCAACTTAAATTTGTCTGTCAGTCCCGATTTTGCGAAAGAGAGAAATTCCCAAGCCAGCTCGGTTGCAGCTCCTTTTTCTTTTTTTTGTGAGCTACGTTAAAGCTTATTCGTTATGTGATCGTCTTGACGACTTACCTCCACCATTCTTGAAGCACAGGTAAGGGAAGCGCCAAATGTTACCTAGGCCAACAGAAAACCCGATCAATGCAAGAATAAAATCGAGTTTTCCAACCCAAGTCTCACGTTCATTTTCGTTTGAGGCCATTAGGCTTAACTACAGCGAATACCAAACTAGGGAAGGCGGGAAATAACTTTCAGGGCATTCTACGCGTAACCTGTTGTTTCTGCTCCCTGCATGAAACAGGACCCAGTGGATAAACTTTCACTACATGATAAACACATGCACTACAGGAACTGGACACGTGTTCGCTGAGATGTCTCATCTCTATCATCGATGACAGGAAAATAAGTTTTAACCTTGATGCGATAAATTTCAGGCCTAATACCTGACCACGGTGATCATCACTTTTCAACAGCAACCAATCAGAAGAAAGGAAAAGTACAAAGCAAGGTGTCACTGAGCGTTACAGAGAGAGGGAAAACCCACTGAAATAATGAGAAATACAGCCAATAAGTCTACTAGTGCTCAAGATCCGAAAATAATAATGAACACTTTCTCGTACAGCCTTTGTGGTGATTTGCAACAAAAGGAATAGAAGCCACTGTGACACTACGACTCACGGATTTGCGAAATTCACGTCCTTTATAAGGACGAAAATGTTACTGATGAGTAGTTGAATGGGTCGTTTATGATACAGGATTTAGTTTTTTAATTTTTATTTCGATCGTCTTAACACGTAAGAATACCATTGAGTGACCTGTAAGCACTTTCGTCACGAGAATTTCAAAGTCGTTTTGCCAATATTCGTGATTTCTTTGTCATTTGAAAATTACGTAACAGGTGGCCCCCTAATGTTGGATTGATTTGAATCAAGTCAACTCCCCGCTATCGGCCGCTCTCGTAAGCGAAAAGTTCCACTTATGGACATTTTTTTCAATTCCCATTTTTACTTCCTTGTTAAACTCTGTATTTACAGATTCCTTGTATTCCTCTGTATTTACAGATTCCCGTGCCGACAGTCTCTCGTAGGCGGTCGCGAAAACTTTTCAAACTGAAAATTTGTTTGTTTACGCTCTCTCGTAAGCGGACACCTCATGGACTCTTGGCCAAAAAAAAATTGTCCTGAATTTGCAAATCAACGAAAATATGACCTTTGACAGAGCAACAGAATACTGGGGCTCGGTTTTGTCAAATCTTCATTAGTCCGTGGGACAATTCCACTGACGGGCACTTCTTCCAATTCCCTTGGATGTCCGCATACGAGAGAGTTGACTGTGCATTTTTAAAGTGGTAGCATCCACAGTCTTCCCTGATGAAACAAAGAAACCGTTGGGGGAAATTTGAGAATCTTATCACGTCTTCAATTAAAGTTGTTTGGTTATTGGACATGAATCTTAAATCTAAATTCTTCTTTGGTGCTTTTGCATTCCTAACAAGGTTTATCGAGCTGCAAGCAATTGTTTCTTTTTTTTGGTCGAGTAACAGATAAAGAGCGATCATCAATTCAGAGTTCATGAGCTCAAAGAAAGACCAAGGAAGGGACAAGGAACTGCCATTGTTAATAGTGATGTAAAACCCAATATATATAACTCAAAATCGTTCGGTAGGGATAAAACAGTTCGTCAATCATCAACCACAAGATAGACCAACGTAGCCAGGTTCATTTTACTGATGATCAAGGAAATAAACGGAGCAAGACAGCCGATTCTGACGTAAACTTTCCGCGTACACGATACGACAGAGAATCATTGATTGAATCGTATGGAGCTTGAAAGCTTGAATAAATGATTTAGTAACACCAGTTATGAAAGAGATTCTTATTCTGTTTTGGCCCGTTTTGACTGGCAATCTCGGGCAGCGCGGTAAAATGAATATGTTTATGTATGGAGGAGAGTGTCACTGATTAATTCAAGACTAATGGTTGTCTCATCTGACTGGCTTCAACAAACTATGAACAATGTGATTAATAAAGTTGTGATTCAGTTCATGCTGATCTGTAAGAAACCTTTAAAGAGGGTTTCAAATAGGATACCTTCGATGGTTGTCGGGCTTATTTTGTACTATTTTGACAGTTGATGACGGGTCAAATTTTAGAGCCTTTGACTGTTGACAGTTTGTAAGAATATATTTCTTCCTTGAGTTAGAATTGATACTTACTCATTCATTTTTCAAATTGAATGATAAGTTGTATTTAGACCTATTCAATCTTTTTCTGAAAAAGTGTTGTGAAGCGTAATTATAAGACCTACAGCAATAACTAATTTTTTGTTTGAAACAAGACCTACAACATGAGCAGAACCTTGTAGTCCTTATTCTTCTCGCCTTGAATATACCATAGCATGGGAAAATTCATTTTCTAAGTATAAAAGAACCCAATCCTAACGCGGGCAGAGCAAAGCCTGTGCGAAACATAGTCTATTTTCCACTCTTTCCTCCCTCTTTTTCTCCTTTTATCCCCTTTTTGGTTTTCGCTCGTTATTCGTTCATGTTCAAATATTGGCATGTGCTGTGAACAATAATGGTTGTCTGCACCTGCACTATATGGTGATCTAAAACACCACCACATTTGAGATCATTTTTGCTATCGCGTAAGTTCTCTACCAGTTCACTCAACAGTAATGCCTTCCTTGGGTTTTCGTCGCCCGTACTAATGACATCGCTAAAAATGCAAAGGCGACCGGCTTCAGACAACTTCCCTTTCCCTTTGGGTAATAAGAGGCAGGGTGAGAGTGGTGCTTCGTTTCCCACTTTGCGACTCGCTTTATGAAACTCCGAGAGATGCTCTAAAAGTACATAGCATGCTGCAAAACACTCAAGGAGAGCCCAGTTACTAGTTCAACACAACCCGTTGTGGTATCTGTCATAAAAAAGGCTCCCAAACTTTAAAGCGTTTGTCAATCAATATTGAGCTGCGTTTTTCGCGGTTAACGGTGAAATCTCTCCTTTTTGACGACTAACTGTTACATTTAAGGCTTCTGAGAATTGACGGTTTAACTCCACTGAGAGCCTCTTTCGTTGACGAGCCGCAGATCCACACGTTGAACCAAGTCAACCAAAGGATACCCACCGGACTGTACTTTGAAAGAGCCAAGCTGCTCTCAAATAGAATTTACGTGACACTGTCTTAGCATGTGGGCCTACGGCTGATTCTCGGTTTTGAGCCCGCTAGGACATTGATCAGAAAGTTAGAACCGAGAATATTAACTCTTACTAACAGAACGCAAGGGTCGCACTGAAGTCGTGGCAGTGCGGATCGAACGTAGTAAAGCCCGTAGAAAAACGACCAAAGACCAATATTCCCTGCTACGGCTCAAGCAAGTAAGGTTGGTTAGCAACTAGTTTATTATGTGGCACTCGGACTCAACATTTGCCAGCTTTCGAGAACAAAAATACACAGCCTATGACCGTTTCCGCTGCATCTCTTATTCTCTTTTCGACTTTATTTTGCAACTTAGATTAATTGCTAACTTTTCTCATATCGAGAAAATACTTGATCAAGACTAACATTCTCCTATTGTGAATTTGGCGTGAAAACTGGTGATCACTTTCCATGGTAACAAGTTCTATCGGTAAGTTCAAGAATATTCTCTTGGTAATGTGAAAACAGGTTTTTGCCTTCACAAATGAACGGACGGACGGGGACAACTCTTAAAAACTCTTCTGGGTAAAGGCTTTCCTTGGGGGCACTCGCTGGCTGCGGGAAGGTAACCGGAATCTATTACGGTTGCTGACTATCCTTGAGAGAATGACTAACGACAACAGGGTTGGCTCCAACGTAGATTTATTCTTCAAGCTCTACTACAATTTTGACCAGAACGGACCTGGCCAGGGCTGGTTCGACCCCGTTCTCTTCCTAACTTTCTCTTCCTCCCCTAAGCTTTACAGAACAGTCCTATTTAAACCTAACGTACATGGATAACGTAATGCCATGAATAATCTACAGGATCATGTAATCTACTAAACTATTGGCTAAGTAGGAATTTCGCCTTTTACAACATTAATTACTTTAAAGAGTTCCGGTGGATAACAGTTACACAAAAGGACATGACAGGTGGCTGTTACAGTTTAACACTAATAATAACTGTTTACGGGTGACTGAAGGAGAACTGGCGGCGTTTACACTTTGCTGAACTAAGTTTTCTACGTGGAATATTGTATTTTTTGAGCGTAAGCATGAAGGAACTCGATCACTAAAAATCCTATCGTTACAGTAACTTATATTCCAGTTGGACTTACTAAAATTATATCAATCAGCTTAATGGTGGAGAAGGTTAAGGTCAAAGTTGATTTCAATGCAGGAATTTCCTGAAAATTACCCTTATTATACTTTGATCCCTACTGGTCTCCTTTAGGGTTAACCTAATGTCGAATTCATGATCAGGAAAGGAATCCCTATATCTTTTTAACTCTAGCATCGTTCTCACCTTTTCTTTTGACAACTTTTACTTCCCACTCTCCGTACTGATTTATAATTAGAGAATGTTTTTGGACACCACGCAGCTCGTAATTTATGGAAACGGGCGGTACCTTGGGTACGCCCTTTTTTCTCCAACTTTTCTGTTTGTTTCATTGTTATGCAACAGTCTTTAAACGCTATTTTCTCTTTAAATCTCCTATTAAGTGTAACTCTAATTTGGTCAGCAAGATCCTCACAATGTTAATATTGTCAATCTTGGTTTTTTGTTTTTCGGGTTCTTAGCGAGAAATGGAAATTTAGAGATAGAATCATCATCTCGAAGGAAAATACTTAATATGCAAGATTTACTTTATGTAATTCAATGTGATTGGCTAGTTAACTGTCACACGATGGACAATGGTCAAGGATAGACAGCCTCTATAAACTGATAAACAACATTTCCAACTTTTTCTGAACCCAGTATTCTTCGTTGTTTAAAAAGCTATTCAATTTTTAAAACAACCATTTAGTTACAACATTGTTGTTTAGTTACGTGAACCGATATGTTTTAAGTGTACGTTGATGCCAAAATCGTTCAGTCACAGAACTAGTGAACCGCGTGACACGTAGAAATCTTGTGAGACGGCAAAACACCAGGATTTGAAACCGCTGAGGATTGAATTTTCCTAATTCGTGTCGCAAAAATTACTGCAGGCCATGTCTGTCAGTTGTCTTTATTCTCATGTTCTCATGCCAGCAGACACTGATAATAAAATATATGCATAACATTAAGTCAAGCCTTTGTCCGTGCTCAAAACCATTTTCAACTCAGCCGAACTTTTTATCTGAAAGTTGATTTTATCAGTAGACAACGTCAAGAAAGCTTATTGCGAACACTTGATTAAAAAAATCAGACAACTCACTGCGTATAAAGAAACCTCGATGTCTACAAGGAGTCTGAAATAGGCAGCTTGATTAGACGAAATAACTGGCCAAAAGTTTCTTTCGAATTGTGTCTTAGTTCTGTTTACCTATTGACTCCTAATGGGCGTGTTCCGTCGATGTCGTCAACTGCCTTTGGCTTTAGGCATACCATTGGAAATTATTTCCAAATTTGTTAAAAAAAAAAGCAAACTGATCTTGATACATAACTTCATTTTCCTGAAAACATCTGGCCTAGAAAGAAACTATCATGAGCCCTTTTAGTTGATGAATTTAGTAGGCGTAAAAAAATTAGTTACTTTCCAGAAAGATCTTTGCTTATTAAAGTTTATTGCTAAATATAAAGGAAATCGCTAAGATGTGCTAAATTTAGTGGCGAACAAAAATAGAAACCTTTGTCGGCCGTTAAGTTTGGAACGTCTACAGCATTTCGGTTTAGGATAAATTGACACAAACATGATCCTTGTTTTACTAACAAGAGACACCAGTTTTCAACAGCATAAAAAGTAGGAAAGTGATTTAGTGGAGAGACTGTTCAGTTGTTGGCATGACAGCTGGTTTATAACCTGGAGGCATCAAGGAGAACTGAAAAAATTCAGCGTTTATTAATTCAGGCAATTCTTAATGATAAAAGTTGACTGTTGTAAACAGAATAAAAGCTTTTCACGATCCAAGCTGGTTATAGACACTTTGAATTCTTAGTCACTAGGACTCCATCCCTTTGAATATCTAACAGACATCAACGCTTGAAAATGATAAAATTTTGAGTTTAAAAATGTCGAAAATTTAGTTTGATATTAGCTTCTTCTTATTTTTTTCCATATACTAGAAACGGGCGTTTGACTCGGTGAGGCGCGGTGTCTGCTACAAATCTCTATAAGATTCATTGACTTAGTTACGACAATACTCGCCAAAACAAACCAACGACGATATTCACCAAACTCAGTGCTCTGCACAAAAATTTGAAATATTGCACCATGGTGTTGGATTTTGTTTTCTTCGAAAAACAAAGACTGCACTAGTATCTGGTTATCAGTACTCCAAAAATAATATCCACACCTTGTGACTTTAGTCATGAAAAAATGTCAAACCCACTCACGTAGTGTGGTCTTATTGAATAACAATAGCTTTCCTCGAACACCTCCAGTGAAGGGAAATGTTATTACGTTGAAATGGCTCACTCCCCATCCTAACGGAAGGAAAAACGTAAAACAACCTATAAACAAATAAAATTACAAAACACTGCCTACTATGGTAGAGACATAACAGAATCTTTTCTTTTGAAACTTTCTCACCCGTGCCACAAGATAGACAACTGTTTTGGTTTTTTTTCTTTGGACACTTTAGACAAGAGTTACAAAGAAGAAATTATGATTTCTCGGAAGAACTGTGGGTGTCGATATGTAACAAAATTCATCTAAAATAAACGGCAACGATCATACAAAGTTTAATCTTGTAGATTGGATGTAACAACAAGGATCACTTACATAACTGAGTAAAATATATCTGATCTGACATCACTAAAGTATTGGCCACGCTCGGATAAATTTGTTCAATACTCCTTTTGTTGTTTTCTGCTTCCATATATGAGAAAGCAAACGATGAAGTGTGGAATGACTGGTACTCCAAGAGAATTCATTTGTGTCTGACTGCAGTTTCATATCGTTCTGGGCTATTTGGCTGTCTGCAGGACTGATATGAAGTTACCGCCACACCGCGCCAAGGGGTTGCTGTTATGAAACTAGCATAAATAATTAAACTACACAATCACAATACGAAATCACTGCTTCATGTCGCCTGCCATATGGTAATTTGTGCTCCACTTCGGTGGAGGCTTTTCAGTAATTTCTCGTTAAACTAAAAAAAACCAAGTGAAGCACACATCCAGCCAACGTTATCCTTTGATCACGCCTTCCTATTTTGTTTGAGAACCCTATCACAATAATGTCACCCCAGACATTCGATGTGTTAACAAAAGAGGCTTTAACCAACAACTTGGTTGCGCTTTTGAACTAAATGTAGATTTATTCTACACTTTTAGGTTTAGCGAATCTGTGATTTATTCAGTTAAGTTTATAAGTTGTTACCGTTTAATTAAGAGAACTTCTAAACGAATGTCATCATTGTGAAGTGGCTTCTGTTCAACTACTCTCCAATCAGCCGCAAAATGACCGCAATGTCACAAGTCAGCATGCACAATTTTTTTAACAACTCTCAACGATGTGTGACCACAATTTCATCGGTTTATTGCACACAGTAATCGATACGAATTTAGCAAACACCATAATCGGAAAAAACCCTTTTATGTATGGTTTTTCGGTTTTTGGAAACTCACCAAATATTAGTTTGTTTCCTGGGCACTACTGAATATTTTTAGAGTGTTATTTTGAAGTCGGTTGTTAACGATAATTCCGGCGTGGCTGGTTGCACTGTTGGCTAATGTCGGGCGTGCACGTGAACAATATAGTGGGCGGCTATATAGTCACAAATGAACCACTTGGATACTTCAGTAATCAGTGCAACATTCATTCTAGCCACACCGGACTGATGATTAGCCCATGACTGCAACAGCCAGCTAGGACCACGGATATCCCGCAGAGTACTCAAATGAATTCGCTCAACTTTATTTTACTTTTGGTGTGCTTCACGCCAGTATCACTACAGAACGGAGCAGAGATTACAAACCTCCAAGGTGATTTACTAAACTTGTTAGAGATAAAGGAAAAGCCGAGCGTGGCAAGAAGTAGGTCTCAAGTACCGAAATATGTGATGGACTTGTACAAGGAACAAGCTCATACAACGGGCTTCACCAAGTTTGGCAAATCTGCTCCTAGGAAAACCATACGAACTTTCTTCAGAGGTACGTAATTATCCTCGGTAATACAAGCAGTTTGCACTGAAGAAACCTACATGAGTAGATTATCGAGCTACATGAATATAATATGGTAATTTGTAACGTTGTTAACCTCGTTATTTATCACTGCAGACACGAGCGTCAGCGAGGACAAGAGTCGCTTGTACTTCAACTTATCGTCGCTTAAACCCAATGAACAAATAGAGAAAGCAGAGCTGAGATTATTTAAGAGACGTTCTAAGCTGGAGAACACTCATGGTCATTTTAAGGTGACAGTGTATCGTTTGAATCGCCGACCTGTAGAGGGTAACACAAGCTGGAAGAAAAAGTTGACTACAGTGGCTACCAAACATGTTAAATGTCGTCGAGTTGGCGGCTGGGTCGTGTTAAATGTTACCTCAGCTGTGTCGTTTTGGAGTTCTTGGCCATCACGAAATTTCGGTTTGTGGATCTCAGTCAAAGGAATTGGAATTCCAACTTCGGATTTCTTCATAGCAACTGGTGGTAGGAAAGAGCCGATCTTGGTCATTTACGGAGATGATAAGGACAAAAAGCAAGACAAATCGTTGCGACCTTTTAGTGAGATTCCGAACGAAACAAGGCATAACGGCGAAGATAAACACAACAAAGGTAAAGGCAAAAACAAGCAAGACACTTCTGGCATAATGAACAGAAGACGCAGATCTGTGGGAGACGTTAGCTGTGCGAGACACAAACTGTTTGTGAAATTTCGTGACTTGAACTGGGACAAATGGATTATAGCACCTCGAGGATTCAGCGCTTATTACTGCATGGGTACATGTCCAGAAGTCATCGATAAATATTACGATCCATCAAACCACGCCATAATACAAAACCTCCTTCACCATCGATTAAATAAGAACATTCCTGCAGCATGCTGTGTACCCACAAGTTTAAACTCTATGAGTTTGATGTATTTTGAGCTGGATGGAAGCATTGTGCTAAAGGAATACCCTGGTATGGTTGCATCGACGTGTGGCTGTCGCTAACAGAGTTATAGTTTACAAATAAACCTCGTCTGTAAATGTCAGTCGATTTAAAGTGAAAGCACAGAGAACAAATTAAGTGTCAAAGAACATATTTATATTGATAAAAGGTGTTTCGCACCCTAACACGATATCGGAATATAGTGAATAAATTGAAGTAGAGTATTATTGCGACCCGAGGCAGATTCGCAGCGGTTAATCAAAAGATTGACAAAGTCAGACATTTTTTCAGAATAGTCAGTCTTGCTCGGGTGGTGTAACACACTAGTTAAAGATCGATTGTACCACACAAATCTCCAGTAAGTGTACGAAAATTATCTGTAGACGGAGAGTAAAGAGGAGCTATAAATGGAACAGTGTAACCTATAAAAAGTATGACCGATAACTAGCCTGGAGCGGCTGCTACTGTTCAAAGACAATTTTATTTATTTCCGGTCAGGCAGTGAGCCGACGTCTATTTCTCCAGAAATTTGCATTAATTTCAGACTTATTATATCACGCTTCTGTAAGCATGAATTCAATAAATTTAAACCCTGCAAAAAAGAGTGTTCCGCCATCACGTACTACGACTAACAGCTCATATTCCTTCTGGTATTGTCCAATAATTCCACTAAGCACTTCACTATGTTGTCCAAGTCAGTTTGCCAAAAAAAAATTTAAGTTCCCACATTGTTAAAAATATTTGTACTTGAGAATGAAGAGTAAATTGTTGACTTAGGAGGCTTAACGTTTGACGTCTTATTGGTGACTAAACTAATATTGAAACATGAAAAAAAAGTTAAACGGTTACAACAATTGCGTGGGAAGTGGTATAAAAATAGAGCCTTCCTTTCCTTGCGGAACGGAATAAAAGGTTTTCATTCTCTAACAAAAACGTACAAGTTACCTTCATTACAGCTGAGAAAAATCGCAACAAGTCAACGAGGGTTGCTTTGAGAATTCAGCTCAACAGAAAAACTAGTCGGCAGTTGTTCATGGAATGACTTACGGTTCAAACGTCAAAACAATACTTCAGAACTGCATAAACATACTTGTCTGTGTTTATTGAACTTTCACTCTCGAAATAATTCCAGTATATCGTATTTTCTCTTCAATTTACTCTAGAAATCATTAAACAAATAGTAGCTGTTGTGTGTTAGTAAAAATAGATGGCCTTGCCTTGAGCATTGTCTACCGACCACACAATAGCCTTTTCTTCTTTGAACTGACTATGCATCGCCGCTCGCATAACCCGGCTGAATCAATTGTTTCCAAAGAAAAGAAAGCTGTGCTCTCCTCATTAGTGCTGATTTTATATCCTACAACTTCTGGCCAAATGTAGACTAAGGGCACTTGGTATAAAGCTGGCATATATAATATCTTTCACTCAAGAAGAAAATTTGAATCAAAAGAAGAAGGGACTCTAGCCATTGCAGTCGCTAAACAGCGACTATTTGAGTTGTAATTTATCCAATCTGTAGTGAATATACAAACTACAGATTAGAGGAATTTGAAACTTTCAACTATTGAAGAAAGAACTGAAGCAGTTTGGAAATTTACGTGAGAATAACTATGTTCAATTGGCCAATGTTCCTTGGGCTGACAGAGAAATGAGTATTTATCAACAAGATATGCGCTGTATTAGCTCAAAAGCACTAATGAAAATAAAAGCCAGCACTTTAGATTAGTGCCTTGTGGTGCCAGTAGACCTTGAAGTTACTCTTGGTCATAAACATATTCACGCAGTTGATCGCTTTATTTGTACGATGTCAAAAGGGTCAAGAACAGACTAGACGACAGGCGCCTGCAGCAACAACTTTACGCTGCTGCTGTCACAAGAAAGTTGAAGAAACTAAGAGAGTGATTGTGAGAGAAGCACTTTCCTAAACACTCTACTGTATGATACGATAGCATTTACATGCATTCAAGCCTGAGGGCAAAACTTAATGGTATCGGCAGCGTTTTGAAGGATATGAGTACAAATCTTAAAGTTTAAGCAGCAAGGTTTTTGTTCTACAAAAGATGGCACAATACGAGTATAAACTCACAGACAATTAGTAAAGCCTAAGGAATTAGAGATATTGGCAGCTTAATACAATATACCTACTAATTGCCTTTGCCCAAACTATTGACCTAACGACGCTGTATAGCCTAAGGAGCACATATAGTTTACGTCAAAGAGGACAAAACATGTATAGGAATGTGAAATTCTCTGTGATAATGTACTCTTATCACAAGAGCAGTCAACACTGTCTATTATGTGCTTGTTGAAGGAAGGTCGTCAGCGAGTCCCGAAGGTCACTAAGTGAACAGTGTTGATCATGTCCTTGTTGAAGGAAGCTCACTGAGTCCTCGTTCTATGGTGGCCAACTCCTGAAGATCATCTTTTATGATGGTTATAAGGTGCATCAGGCCTAACTGTTGACGCTCAAGATGCTGCAATAAACGACACGAGTTCACAAACACTTTTTAACAGAATTACTACAACACCAGCACATCTAGCCCAGAACTTTGACTTTTAAAATGTGAAGTTTAAGTTAATTCAAACACGACATTACCTTCTGCTGTACTAAGGAATAAGCAGCAACTTTAGTCAGACGGTAACAAAACAAAGCTCTTAAATAGAACTCCAGCTTAGTGATATCAATGACACAACAGTTGCAATCATCTTGTTAAATAACAATTAAAACTGAAATTATTGCTAGCAATCTCATGACCTCTTTATAATTGTTTTCCTACTCACATTTGAAATCCCGCAAGGCACAATTATCACCTTGAGAGTTTTATCCATTCTTTAGGGTTTTTTTTAGCAATACGAAATCAAACTTAATGTAGCGGGGTGGGTATTGAGCAACACTTACCCAGTAAGTGCCTTTGGTAAGGAGATTGGTTAAGTCACTATTTCGCGTTCAACCTAACAGCATCATTAACCGCAGCGACCTACGCTTCACACGAAATGTTTTCTTACTCTAATAGTTTTGAGAGCAAGACTCAGGATTGATATTGTGTGCAAATGGGATTGCCAACTGGACAATCCCTGAAATATGCAGTATATTTTATTATTAGAGAGCAATAAAACAGAATACAGTAAAGCATATACAATGACTGAGCAGAGCAGAAAAGGGAGAATCAAAAGGGGAGAGTAAAGCAGAATATGGTAGAAAAAGTACAGTTTAGGGTTGAGTGAAAAGGCAACGTACAGCGAAGTAGATAGTAGAAAGAGAAAAAATATAGACATCGTCAAGTCGAGTGGAGTAAAATGATTTTCCATAATGACCATTCTCCCTTCTACCCCTCTCTGGTGTAATATATGACATAATATATGATGACGCAGAGAGAGCTATATGGATTACCAACCGTACACCTGGCACAGGCTGGTGAAAGCGTGCAGCGCAGTATTTTTTTTCCTCTTGGGGTCCTTACTTTATCATGCACTCAGAGACAATCATTCGCCTTATTTGAGTTTGTTTATGTTTGAAGTCCTACATAAATATATGTTATTTGACGGGTTCGCGATTTTGATTATTTCAACATTAAGGAAATATTGGTGTTGATCTCTCTCACTTGTTTAAGTTGGTCCTGAATAGCGCCTTCCACTATATATCTGCCGTCCACTCGCGCCAGTCTCTCTCCAACTTGACTCTGCCGTAAGCGGATCTGTGACATCATCTCATTTAAACGAGCCTGTGATAGCAAGACCATGTTGAAAAAAGGTTAGAATTACCTCTAATTGTCAAAATCAAAACTTTATCAGGCATTTAAGACAGAACTGCCAACGCACTGCTGGAATTAAAATTGCAGCCGGCTCAATACATCAAGATGTGATTTTTCACACTCAGGGAATTATTGATGAAAAGAGAAAAAAACTGCAGCAAAGAAGCTAATTTAACCCAATCAACCCATTTATGACAGTCCAACAACACCTGACAGGCACAAAATTACCAACTATTTATAATAAGTCATCGTTCCCTTTACAGAACCTTTCAACCTAGCCGATTTATGCTTGCTTTGTGTTCCCTAACTCCACCTAAAGCTCTTCACGAAGGAACCTGAACGCGAGGGACCATGGGTAGAACCCCGACCTATATTTTATACCCTGTTCATAAGATGCAGTCCGTGTGTTGTGCTCCTTCCATGATCCTCAATTCATAGCTTAAAAACATTTATCGGATTCACCATTCATGATCCTTCCACTAAGCACTGAAGTTTGCGATGCTGATTTGTCGTCAGCGCTAACGACTGAGTTTCAACACAAACCATGGGAATTTTCGGCGCAAATGATCTCACACCGCATATACACCCGTAGGAATTTGATGCTTTCTTTCTGGACTAATTTATTGAGGACTTGCCTTGAATTGGGAGGGTGCATTCAACTCCGCATGCAGATATTCAAGTTGTACTCTACCATGAAGAAATAAAGAAAAAAAGTTGAAGGGAATGAAAGTGAAACACAAAGTAATTAAGACGTTTCCCTTGAAATAATTTGCCATTCAGAATTTTTTAATACTTGACATAATACATATCCACGCACAAGAAATTGGAAAAATACAGGAAAAAACAAGGAGTCACCGCATGCGCCAAAATGTACAAACCTGTAGCCGCAAAAATTATCTTATGTGATGAAAATATGCTTGATAGTACTAATATCCAGAGCCTCTATACTTTTCCGGGCAGTAGTCTTCCACTCAGGTGACGCCCAATTGCCAACTTTGTCCGAATAAGGTAAGATTGGACTCGTACGTCATCATCTCATACTCCTTCCTGACTCACAATGTACCACAATAGTCAGGGGAGGCGAGGGAGGGGGGGGGGGTGTGTCAACGTACTAGTTTAAGAGAAATTAAAGATGTTTCCCACGGGCGATTCTTAAATAAAAGGTACCATTTTTTAATGTGCCTGTGTAACTTACTCATTAAAACCATAGACTCCCTACCCTCAAAATGCTCTATGCACCAAAACTGACCTGAGCTGTTCTTCGTCAGCCTGTACTGAGTAACCACTCTTCCGGAGACATTCCTGTTTTATCATAACCTAATAAAGTAACAAAGAAAATGTTCAGTTTTCAACTCCAAGGTCAAGTTATGCACAAATAAGTAAATATAAATTTTCGTGAGCAAAAAGATGACTAGGCAAGCTGGGTAGAACAAGTCGTTGTACGTGATACCCTTTCCTCTATATTTAGCTTTTGCCCCACCCTTTGACGTTTTGACAAAATAGAATGTATTTCCGGAAACATTTTCCGCGTTCAACTTCATTTTCAAGCACAAAACTACGTCATAACAAAGAGCAGTGTCAGCGATTTTATCCTCTTAGCCTCATCTGAAAAAATATCTCTCAGTTTTGTAAAGATTAACCACTTTTCTTATCGCGACAATAGACGCAGACAGTAATAATTTATATAACAAGCTGAATCTCCCTTACATTTTGATTGGTTGTAACTTATGATATTTTTTATCATGTAAAAATTGACATATTCCATGTTACCGCGGGTCTCTGTACAGGGAAAGATCACAGACGTCAAAATATGGTAAGAACACCCGTGCTACAGTCGGACAGCAATGCCTTGTGTGACACTCTTTGTTCTCACCACATTTTGACGTCATCTGTGATCTATTACTGTAAAGAGACCCATTGCAACATTCAATCTATTTGTCAAGTGGACACTTCTGATATAACTCAGTTTACAGCAAAGTATTCGACCATTCTTCTGTTTTCATTAGTTAACGTTTTTCACGAATAATTGGATTT